TGGAGCATATGAACCACAGAGAAGATCCAATTATGCTCCATTCCAAAGAGATGACCAACGCATCAACACCCTGGAAAGCTATGTCAAAGAATATGCTACCAGGAATGATGTTGTGGTCAGAAATATTGAGTCCCACCTGGGACAGATAACTGCTAGCCTTAACACCAGGACACCAGGCCATTTACCATGGGATACTAAAGTTCCCTCAACAACCTCCCCAGAAACCTGAGAGGTTAGTAACATGTCTAGCTAAAGACATTAAACTAAGCGCTGACTAGGAGGCAACCCAGTGGATACCTTTGCCCTCTAACAAAGAGCAAAGTTTTGGGGTGGTTAACCTTAACCACACAGCTCTCAAAATGGAAGGAATGTCTGATGTTCAACTTCAAATCCAAATAAAATACGTTCCGTTCCAGGAACGTAGTTTTGGGGTGGTTCAATAACCACACATTCCCATATTTATTTCTTAAAATATATATATATATATATATATATATATATATATATATATATATATATATATATAATTTAATTTGCACACACCTTCATTTGTAATTTTTAAAATAAGTAGTATTTCTTTACAATGCAATTTATATTTCAGGGTTCTTTTATTAAGTAGGCTTGCATTTTTAGGAATTAGTTTATTATTATTATATAGGGAATGTTCCTTGGCTTAGGAGATAAGAGTGACAAGGACACCTGTCCCTGCGGAGTCACTTACGTATATGCAACCGTTATCAAATCTGCACTCATTGCAAATTTTGAAAACGTGCCCTGAAAAAGCAATTGTCTCCTCAGCCATTAATGCAACTGCTCCTACCCTATTTCCCTCTCTCTCACGTTTCTAACCTAAACCATTCCACCTCCTTACCACCATCAGTAGCAGTTGAATACCACTCACCTTGACCTTTCATTCCATAACGTTCCCATTCCACCACTTCTTCAACTCCCTGTCTTTAACCTCAACGTCCCGAAAAACCTCTCATTTTTCCTCCTCTGCATGCTTATTTAAACTCATTTCCTTTCTTCGTCAATCTTTACCATTCTCTGCTACCTTAGAAACTTTTGCTCTCATCACCCTATTCAGCATTTTTGCCTTAAACCCTTCCTTCTTCCAATAACCATGACTAGACTTTCAGTAACTGTCATTCCTGTGGCCGACCATGGCCAGGAACCCGAAGTTACAAAGGAGGTTGCTCATCTCTACCCAGAGAGGAACATCTCTATAAAAGACAAGGCTCTTATTCCTTCCTTTGTGAAGAAATCCTTGACCAGCCTGAAGTGGCTTCTGTTTGCCTCTGACGAACGAGAAGTCAACATCTCGTTGGTAGGTGAGTTTTTGTACCACGCCAAGAGGCTGCCTTAAGGGTACACCAAAGATGAGATGAAAGTAAGGGGGAAGAAAGTGTCATTCTCCCCCGCTGCTATCAAAGAGGTACTCAATCTCCCCACAGTGCCCAAATGCCCATACCAGGAATACATCGACAACAAAGATGTTTTGAAGTTCACAAGGGACGTTAAGAGCCTGATAGCCATCGAGAACCTGTCTACTCAAAAAGATCCCTCTGCAAGGGGAGCATGAGAGCTGAAGCTAGATTCTAGGCTTTGTTTGCCAACTCTAACCTCACTCCCTCCACCCACGATGCCACTGTCAAGTGGGCACTCCAGGTGAAAATCTACTGCATTATGAGGAACATCCATTTTGATGCAGTACCCCTTATCTACGACAGTCTAAGAGAGAGATAAAGAAGACTATTGTCTGTCATCCCTGCCTGATTACAAAGCTCTATTTAAGAGCTGGAGTGAATACCTACAAGGATGATGAGTTGGTGACAGCATCTGTCATCGATTCTAAAACTTGGAGTAACCTGAGGAGCACTTACATTGAGACCAGCGAACCAGTCCCTAAGGAATTCAGGCGCACTGATGCTGGTGATTTTGATGAAGAATAGGGCCTTGAAGCCCCAGAAAAGACAACCACGAAGGCCACCCCTTCAGAATCATCCACTTCTGCCTACACCCAGGCAAGAAGAACCATTCCACCTCCCACCAAGGTGAAGAAAGAAGCCCCTGCTGCTACTAAGAGCAAGCAGGGCAAAAAGAAGTCCCCTGCCAAAGCTCCCCTAAGAAAGGGGGAACGTTCGAGTCAAAGGCTGAAGAGAACCTTCTGCAGCACCAAAAGGCCAGAGGGAGCATCCTCTAAGAAACCTATAACCCTCTCTGACAAAGAGGGGAACAGTGAAGACAATGAGCCTATCTCAAAAAGGCTGAAGACTGGAGGAACGTCCAATCCAGCTACTAGGAAAACGTCCCCAAGTAGCTCTGCTACTTCATCTTCTATCGTTCCGTCCCCTCCACCATCAACTGCTCATTCTTCACCACCACCAGTGACACAGCAACCCTCTCCTAGGCAACAAGAAGGAGAGGGAATGAAAGAAACAGATGCAGCACCTGCTGCAGAAGAACAGGTGGCTGAGCAAGAGGCTCAACCACAAAAGAACCTTGATAAAGGAAAGGGGATTCTTGTTGAATCCCCTAAAATGAAAAAGCCAATTGTCCCTAGGCAACTCAGTCTGGGAGGGCCCCTCTCTTGCCCCATCATCTGTCCCGATACTTCTGGGGACGAGGCTATTGTTAGGTCTCTGGCAGAAGAAGAGGGCTTGGAAGTCCCTCTACTGATGGAGGAACAAACAACAACTGCCCCCTCTTCGTCAAAAATACAGGAGGTTGCTATCAGGCAAGCACCTGAAGGACCTCCAGCTTCTGGCAACATCAACCAGAAGAAGAAGAAGCCATCTTCCCCCATTCCAGCAATCCCCATTGGTTCAAGAAGAAAATCCCAGATAGGGATTGCTGAACTGTTTGAAATGATGGGGAAGAAGATAGAGAAGTTGCTGCCTGAGACTCCATCCGTTCCTCAGATCAACATGACTGATACCACTGAAGAGCTGAAGGCTATTAGGAACGGAATGGATCAACTCTCTTCTGCTATCAACAAATTCCAGGAACAACAGAGAACAGAAAGAGAGCAGCTTCTTAACACCATCAAGGACAACATCAGCAGCATCAGAGCTGCACCATCTGCACCAACCTTGCAAGCTGTCAGGGACGAAATCAAGAAAGTATCTGAGTCCCTGCAACTTGCTTACTCCCTGCACAACACTAGAGCTGAACTACAGCTTAAGAAACTCCTCAAAAATTCTGAGGAACGAACAGAAACCAAAGAAGCTCTCAAAGCTTTTGGTAGATATTTGGAGGGGAAAATCACTTAGCTGGAACACTGAATGCTGGATGTGAAGGAACAAGTGGTGCACATCCACAATGGTGGGATAATGATGAGATCCACCATTGTGCACATCACTGCTGTGATCAGCGATCTACTAAAAGAAGCTGAGAAGTGGCTCCCTGAAGCTGAAGTAAGAAGAGTAAGAGAACAGCTCAGCAGGAGACCACCCACACGGGAGGAACGTGATGCTGAGAAGAATTCTGAGTTGGGCAAGAGACGTCCTTATTGAAAAGGAGAAAGATCCTCCTATATTTTTTTTCTTATTTCCCATTTATTGCTTTCTGTTATTTCCTTTTATTTCCATTTTCGTTCCTTAGTGTAATTGTAATTTCTTTTTGAAATAGAAAAATCTTGTAGATCAAACTTTTTGGAGCATACATCTCATTTAGAGTACTGTGGCTGTGAAACTTTGAATAACCACTGGCCTGAAACACAAAGTCACTAAGTAATCATGCTTGTTCTTACTCTGAATACTTGACATAGAAAATGTGAAATGAATTTAATCTTCAGATTTTTGAAGAATGCTGATCTGTGTGAACTAAAACTGGTGAGGAACGAAAAATGCCAAACACTTACTCATGAGAGCGTTCCTGAGGTGTCACCACAATGAAACTTCTAAACTTGCCTTGATGTTGTAAGTACTGCTGAAGAACAGGTGAATTTCACTAACAAGGATCAAATCACCAAACACTAACCATCCAAACACTTATGTTCCCATTCACACCACAGCTTTACCCCACACACTCACACTCATTCCCAGGTCAATTAAAAGGAGAAAGGAACAAATCTGAAATGAGCACAAAGGACAAAAAGAAAGAAAAAGAAAAATGGGAACAACCATTCAAAAGAATTCAGAAGAAAATACCAGAAAAGCTTCCTCCAAAGGAGGAGAAGAAGGTACAAAAGACAAGGTGTCCCCTCAAACAGAAAAGTCCATCTCTGAAGCATAAAGAACTATTCCTTGACTCTAAACTTGTGACCATTCCACTTTTAACACCCTTCCATCAATCCTTTTCACAAAGATCCTTGACATGGAAGACACCTGCACTTCTTAGTAAAGCAGCAGATAAGCAAGTTTGAAGAATCACATCCAGAAATGGACAGAGAAACACCAACCCTGAGTGATAGTGAGACAGAAGATCAGCAATCATCACTTACCTGGGAACAAATTCTTTCTACTCACCACCTGTAGAAAGTAGTTCAATCTTTGAAAAGTTATGATTAGTTGTTGGCTCAAGCTTCAGAAGTTGAGCTATTCTTTGAAATTGAGCAGCCTAAGCCACTATTTCTGAGTTGTTTGAGGACAACCAACAGTTTAGTTTTGAGGTGTTTGATGGGACGAAAATTTGTGCCCATCTAAGCCTATTTTGGTGGCAAAATACCATCGGTTCCCTCGCCTGATGAGCAACTTTAGCACTAAAAGCACATGTTTTATATCTTTCTCACCAAAACACAGTGGGGAACGGAAGGTGGTGTAATCTTTTGGAAAAATATATAAAAAGGAGAACGAATTTGGAACATTAAATACACCTGCTTCACTTACTCAACCTCTCTGACCACTTTACAGGAAACGATGAAAAGAAGTTTCCAACTTAACACAAAGAGCAGCACTCAACCAAGGAGAAATGTGCGCAGCAGGGAATAAACGGTTCCTATTGACCGAAAAGGAAAGCAAGGCATGGGGAGGTCAGAAGGAAAGACAAATCTCAAACAAAACTGTCCCATCCAGCCACGTGCGCCCCTCAAAGCACTGTTCACACCGCCCCTTTCATGCAGTCAAGAAACTGACTCCAAAAGATTTACAAGTTTGCCATTCATTCTTCTACCTATAAATAGGGCGTCCCAGCACGAAGAGAAACATCGAATTCCTGAGGGATTGAATTCCTTAAGAAGAGATCACTTAGTTTATTTTTGTAGTTTTTATTTGTATAGTTTTAACTTTAGTTAAGTGACAACACTTCTTCTTCTTTCTGTATCACCCACTTGAGACTCCTCACGAGTAACAACCATCTTCTCCATTTTTCATTTTATTGTAATCAATTTGTTTTCATTTAAATACAAGTGTTATTTCTCTCATTTCCACTCGTTATCTCTGAACTGAATCTCGAGTCTATGGGACTTCAGTTTGGAATAATTATGTTTAAACTAGTAGCCATGGGCTAAACTATCTACGGAATGGAAAAACTGCAAAGTTCTTAAAAAATTATTTTCGAAACTCTTGTATTACAGCTTTTGTGTTTCTCTGGTTAAGTGTGCTATATTCATTGTGTATCTTTGGAAATCGAACACATACTGAGAAAGGATCTTCCATAAGAAAGAGATTTCAGACAGCTTAACCAGAGGGGGAGGGCAGTCTTGTGAAAATAATATTGTTGGTTGCCTTAGGAATAAGGGACCACCTTGTTACTCAAAGGTCCTGTACCTAGTACCTGTTGGAGTCAAGGGAGCCATAGGAATATGGAAACTTGTGAGCCATCTAGTCCATGAGCTGAGGAATCAGAGTTGGTAGAGAAGAGACTGGAACAAATACAAAAGTGGAGTCTTTAGTAGAGAAAATAATTATTTATGAATGGAGCAGCAGATTCGTTCCTTCTGTTATTATTGTTTTTAAACCATCCACCCTGTTGTCTCTTGACTATTGTTATTACTTTTTGTATTTTTCTTCTTTGTTTAATCTTGTATCTATAAAACTCTCATGAATATTGCTGATCCTTCCCTAAACAAGAAGGATAACATACATAATGAAGCGATGAACTGTTTTCGGTCTGATTGAATCTACTGTCCTTGAGGAACGTTGTCAAGACAGTAGGGAGTGTTTGACCAAACAGGTCAATTACTAACTTTACTTTTCATGTTTATTCTTTATAAAACAACATAAGACATTAATTAGAGTTCTATCCTCGTGGAAACGATAATCTAGGCATAATACTCCCATTTATTACTTGATGCGTTCAGTTGCGCACTTGGGCTGAACTAAGAGAACAACTATGTTCTTTATTAGTGAACTGAGGAACGTTTTCATCATAATACACTTTTCACCCAACAGCTTTTGAACCCAACACAAAACAACATTGAAATTAATTTACAAAACAACTACCTACAACATGTAACAATAAATTTTATTTACAAATTAATTAAGCAAGGCCGTAATTCATTATCAAAATTATTAACCAGAAACCCTAGGTATTTACTTCATTTGTAAGTAATGAAATAATATTAATACCTAGTACACTAACTAATTTGTAATGACATAATATTAATACCCTAAGTCACTAATTAATTCATAATTAAATAATAATAATAATACCTAAGTTACTAAAAAGTTCCTAAGTCACTACAGTATTCATAACATGGTAAAAAATTCCTAAGTCACTATCACTATCACTATTTTCTAAGTCACTAATATACGCTAAACCCTAATTCATAATTAATTAATAACAATACCTAGGTAACAAAAAAATTCCTAAGTCAGTCAAGCATTTATAACATGGTAAAAAATTCCTAAGTCACTATCACTATTTTCTAAGTCACTAATATACGCTAAACCTCAATTCATAATTAAATAATAATAATACCTAGGTCACAAAAAGAATTCCTAAGTCACTAAAGCATTACAAAATTCCTATGTCACTATCCCTATTTTCTAAGTCACTAATATATGGTAAATGCTAACATATTCGTAACGCAGCACTGTAATTTAAACGTATACATAGCAAGTATCAAAAACTTACTTATGTTATTTACCAAAAAAATAAAACCTTACTTATGTTAGCAGAGCTTCGGTACTGAAAATTCCACGTAAGGTTGAGAGCACAATGATCTTAGAGAGAGGTTAGAGTGAGAGGGTGAAATGGTTAAAAAGATAAAATGGGGGGGGGGGGGGTTATATAGGCTTGGTGGGTGACGCCCCATTTGGGAGTCGCATGGCACGCCTGGTTTGGGCGTGACCCACCAAGATGTGACTCCTTGTTTGAGCGTGATATGTGACGCCCAAATGAGACGTGATATTGTGCAATAAATGCATAAATGTTTTGAAAACAATTATAAATTTGTAACATATTCGTAACGCAGCACTGTAATTTAAACGTATACATAGCAGGTATTAAAAACTTACTTATGTTAGCAGAGTTTCGCTACTTAAAATTTCACGTAAGGTCGAGAGCACAATGGTCTTAGAGAGAGGTTAGAGTGAGAGGGTGAAATGGTTAAAAAGTTAAAATGGGGAGGTTTATATACGCTTGGTGGGTGACGCCCTATTTGGGCGTCACATGTCACGCCTGGTTTGGGCGTGACTCACCAGGATGTGACTCCCTGTTTGAGCGTGATATGTGACACCTAAATGGAGCGTGATATTGTTCAATAAATGCATAAATATTTTGAAAACAATTGTAAATTTGTAATTTTTTATTTTAAAAACATTAAATTAATTTTTTCGCCCAAGTTTGATGCTTTTTAACATTCTTACACTTTTACTTTGACGTATCTTTTTATCTTTGAAGTCATCTTGCACTTTATAGTGATGGCTACTGCATTTCTTTTGATTTAACCCACTTTAAACACTCATCTTTAAGTTACCATTTATCATACTTAAGCCAATTCAGTGCTTATTTGATTGATATTATCGCACCGTAAAAAAAACTAGCATTTGACTAACAATCATTCTGAATATAAGACCCTATATTGGAGGAGGATCCCTTCCAAAATTGACAATACGGTTAATTTTTTATTTTCTTGTATTTGTTCACCTTCTCATTTTTTACGTGCTGCTGGAATAGATTCTCTTGAAAATCAGTAGTTACCTATCGATGCGAATCAACCTGAACCTCTTAGAAACCTACAATATGGTTAAGTTTGTATCTTGGGCAGAAATCATGGTGACAATGACTAGGTAGGAAATGTTCCTTATGGCCTTAGGAAATAAATAATTGGGGGGCATCAACTTCCTAATCAACACGTCAATATCAATCAGGTTTGTTGAACAAATCC